GATGGGCGAGTCAAAGTCACCCTCTACCTGTGGGTGGCTTGTCACATACATAGCATGCACCCTAAAAAATATATCGCTTTTTTTGGGAAGTCATGAATTTTTTATATATTAAAAACATAACTCCACGAATGGAGAGCCACAGGTAACAGTTAGTAGCTTATAAAATTATAATTTATGATTTCCACATTTTTTTCTTCAGAAACTAGCGAGATACTACCTACATAATATAAGTACTTTTTGGTATACCAAAAACTTTTCCGAAGCCCCTAATATTATACAAAGACAGGGGTTGTATAGAAGAGTTATTTTTAGATGTGATTAAAAGAAAAAAAGAATAGTTGGCCTATTTAAAAGCAGACAATAAGTAAAATCATAAAGACACTTACTCTTTTTGCAAATACGCCGCTTTTTCTTTAAAGTAACTTGGGCTGTATTTTTTAATGGTTTTTTGATATATGTTCGTCCCGAATAATCCGCATCCGGATAATAAATGGTATTTTCATTTTTTAATGTCGGTAAATCACAATACGAAGTCAGTAGTTCAAGCACTTCACTTTCAGTTTTTGTTTGTATAAATTCACTAACTTCTTCTTTGATTTGCATTTCTTTAATATTGCTAGTTTTCTCCAGTTCGTTTTTAATAGTTTTATGAAAAATTTGTACGTTTTCATAAACCTTAACTATGTCATTTTTTGTCGACAAATCCAAACGTTCAATTTTAGGCAGTTCATATTCGATGATTTCTCCTTTCATTTTAAGATGTGCGAATTGTTCAATCGTTTCAGATGTAGAAGCATTAAATGTACCACCACTTACAACCCCATGTTCGATTTTAAATGTTCGAGGCTTTCCAGGATAAAACTTGTTTTGCTCTGTTTGATCGGAATCAATTTCTAGTTCTATTTTAATTTCGCCAAGCTCCTGATGGAAATTAAAAGGATCTTGCTCTTGTTTCCTGTCCATCGTTTAATAATGAATACAAATTAAAATTGAAAAAACAATCAGAATTTTTTTTTTTAATTTTAACCTTACAAATATGAAAACAACTTAAAAATGATTGATGACAGATGACATAATATTGACATTAACAGTCTTGGCACTTAAGCTTAATTTATAACCGCCGTAACGTAACTTAAGAACTTAACGTAAGAAGTTGAAATATTGAATTTACGTATACTTATTTATAATGTTCGTAACGTAACTTAAGAACTTAACGTACCGTAGAAAGTTCGCCAACTTTTTTAACTTAACAACTTAACTTAACTTAAGACCTTACGGTTAGCCAATGAGATAATTCTGAGTTCAGCATGTGATAACTGTCAATTATTCTCTTTTTATTTTTTTTATAAATGAATAGACAAATACCATTTGTAAACTATCATTCTCTTTTTTGATGGACATACATTATCATGAATGATTTGTGTTTATGTTATTGGGGATAAACTATTTATGAGATATGAGTGTTGCTGCATATACCTATAAACATCAAGTCTAGAACTGAAATAAGACACAAAACTAGTTTGCTAGGAAAGATTAAATTCTCAATATTGCTCAAAAACAATCAACATCTTCAATAAACTATTCTGTTTTATTATATTTTTATATTATTGTTTTAAAGTAGTAAATATATTCTTTCTATATAGCAAAATCATAATTTATAAGTTTTATTTAGAGGTTAGGTACATAGTTTACACTTGTTTATTTCATAACGTTATCAGTAATTTGAAAATCTCTGAAATCAACACGCATGCTCAACTCTTACGTTACGGACATATATAAATAGACTTTATTTTTATATCTTAGGTTAAGTTTCTACGGGGCTAAGTTAAGTTACGTTACGGTGGTTATAAATTAAGTATAATAGTTGCGTTCGGTTTGCCGAGTTCTTTTAACTCCTTTAATACTTTTACTCCAAACGACCCTTTTAGCGTTTGGTTTAGTCCGATTGGTGACAGGTTAACAAGCTTAAATGTCATTTAGGGTCTATTTATACTCCCTTAGTATTAGTATTTGTATTAGTATTAGGATTAAGCATTAAATTTGTTAAATCATTCAAAAAAGGTATTTATACTCGTTTTATAATTAGTATTAGTAATTCTTTTTTAAACCTAATACCTAATAAGATATAATTCTGCAGTCAACAAAATATATGGTTACTGAAAAATGTGTAAGAGGCCGGTTGTGTTCTTTTAAGATATTTGAGTTTTAAATGTGTTTTTATTAATATTTTTACTAGTTAATTAGTTAATATTATTTAAAAATAGGTTTATATAAGGACATTTTAACGGATTTAAGTCTCAAATTTATAACAGATAAAAAGAAGCAGAAATTTGATACAAATCAGACAGAAAAGAGGCCTTTGCTTTCTCATGGTGACATGTCATTTGTCAACTTTATAATCGGTAAACACTGCTGATACACAAAAATTGTATATAGAGTATGATTTGTACCGAAATATCGTTTTCGAGCTTGTTGGAACAAACAAATAAACAACATAACCATATGTGTATTGTCAATTATCCTTATCCGTTGTCTATTAAAAACAAAGGCCAAATACGCCATTGATTCATTTTATAGAAAAGAAGAAATTTAATATTTAATTTAAAAGTTGAACCTGTCAATTATTAAGCATAAATATTAATGCTAATACTAATCATAAATCGAGTATAAATGTTCCCATTACATTGTGAAGGTTCAACTTAATGCTTAATCATAATACTAATGCAAATACTAATAATAAGGGAGTATAAATAGACCCTTAAAAGCATCCTAAAAAAACTCCGCTTTTGTCCCACTCCAGCCCCTGACTATCTGAACTCGCCTAGTGGCGTTCGGTTTACGAGGCGTTATATCCCAGTATAAAGAACAATAATTATTAAAATATTATTATTATTAAAATAATAATAATAATTTAAATGTAAATTTCAATAAAAAAGATAAAATTCTGGATGAAATTTCTGATTTACAAATGTGAGTCCACAGCCAAGATGTTAACCTGCTAAGTGATAGCATTTTTCAATAAACTGTTTCAAATATACATATTATAAAAATTTATTACAACTACTGTCAACTTCACAACAAAATAATTTAAACAAAGATTTCAAAAATATTACAGAACTATTAACTTGCAGGAACATTAAACCTCAAAACCGTTTTTTCTCTACTCGAAAGCAAAAAAAAAGTAAATAGACACAAAGTAAGCAATCCCAATAAAGATGAAAGTAATGAAATTTCAAATTTTTTAAGTGGAAAGAGTAATGTGCTGTCTAAAGATCCTGAAATAGATCACAATTATCTTTCATATTATTATTCCTCTAGGGTGTCTTAATTATTATAATATTATAATGGCTTAGATGCAATCACAAAGCACGTATCTTCTAGAGACCCCACGCCAATGTTAAACTTTTAAACCAAATTAGCGCCACCTTGTGTTTGGAGCTGGAACTAAAATGACAATTGACAGATGGCGGTACATTCAAATTGTAATTTTTATGAGTAGGTAGTAGTTTTAAATTAAATTTCCACATAAATTATTTTATAAAATAAAGTATGGAACTAGTAAGTTCGAAACTTTTATTTTACAAAATAATTTAGGTCGATTATACCAAATTTGAGGAATTAATTTGTTATTAGTAGGGGTCTGATGTGAAGAGTTGGTTCTGAATAATTATTATTAAATAAATATAAGATATATCAATAAATAATAAAATAGAACATTCTTAAAATATGTTTATTATTAACTTAAATAAATATTATTAGATAAAAATAAATACAAATAATAATACATATTTAACGAATACTTACTTGCAGCAAATAGGTATACAATCTCAAATCTTTAAAATACCTATCAATAATTTAAATGTGAAGTAGAGACTAGGATATTACATTTTATTAACACTAAAATAATATATTTTATAAATGTCTTTTAAACCGAGAACAAATGTAATATAGGTATTGTATTAAAAGGTGAATCCTTTTAACTATTCATTCAATGTAGATAGGTATTTGCCTTCCAAATACAGATAGTGGTATTACTCCACTGCTTTGTGTATTACTTTCTTATGTGAAAAATGATTTCGGAATCTAGTCCAGTGATAAATCGATTATCAATTAGTTGTTATACCCGTTTGTCTTTTTATGATGCAGATGCATGGTGAATCAATGAAGTTTTCAACGTAGCACCCACAGGTAGCACCAAAATTATTGCAAAACACAGTACGAAATAGAAAAGCAAAACATCACAATTTTGCAAATAACTAAGACGAAACTATAAACAGACACCAAAAGCCAAAGCCAACAAAAAATTACTAAAATCAGACGAAAAAATGAGATTAACCAAAAACACAAATAAATACACGTCACATCTTTGGAGTCTTTGGTTAAGTTTTTCTCCCATAAAGCTTAAAAATGGAGTAAGAAATCAGAATTAGCCCCATCTAGAGTTTGGAGCAAATAGCATAAAAAATGTCAGTTGTCGGTTTTGACCTAGGTCATTCACGTGAAACCTCTATGTGCTTTGTGGATGCAATACTTTTTTTTACAAAATAATAGAATAATATATTTACAACATAACATAAAATAAATAACACAATTCCCGAGGGTTTTGAGTCGGCGTAGCAGGTACCTGCTGGGCCAATGACGATGAATTCGCCTATTTTATATATAGCTGCTGAAAAGTAAGGTTAGGCTAAACATAGCAGCCCTCACTCCTTGCCAGAGAGGCATTATTGAGGGATTGTGGTGTTTTTGTAGTCAGTAATTGTCATAGTTTAAAGATTTGTCGTGGATTAATTTGGTCTTTGTCCCCTGAAAAAGCTAGGAAAAAACAGGGTTGTCAGCATTGTGCGTTGGTCTTTCGATAGTCTGTTGTTATTGTAACAATTCACAGGACTACTGACCTACAAAAGCCCCCCGAATGAGCCAGAGTCGAGGACGGAATCGCCATCGACCATTCATTCATTTCAAAATTCTTTATTTAAAATATTTACAAGTATATACATTTATAATACATTCTAATACGTAATTTACAGAAGGATTTCTTCTCGTGATGCTCCGTGAAGTGTTCCGCTCTGCGATGGCTCCTAGAAGGGGCCATGACCGTTGTTGTGGCCGTGTATTTGACCGTATTACAGTTAACAAATTATGAGTAATGTGACTTCTCCTTATTGAAGCAATATTATAAGTCAATTTGGATGAGTTTGATAGGTCAATAATTGTAAAGTGATGAGTTTTTGTCTGAATTTACTTATGTTTGTTGTCCCTGAAAAACCATAGTAAAAAACAGGGTTGTCCTTATATGTATGTGCGTCATTAAGGGTTGTTAGGGTAGGTTAGGAGGGTGATTAGCCCACTCTCAAGCCTCCACAGTGTTAGCCACCGACCAAAATCCAATTTTCGACGGGTCAAAAATCAAACCTAGGACAGTGACGTCACCGTGCAGTCTTCCGTCCGACTAGTTGACTTAACTAGCCGCCGTTGAGATTCGGCTATTCAGTGGGTTTTGGAGTTGTTAGGATGCATGTATGTTTAGAGTTTGTCTAATTAACCGTCAGTATAGTTTCTTAGTGCTTTATGCAAACAGCCATGGATCCTGTTTGCACCTTCCCTATTTTTGTTTGCTATTATGTCTTCCTTAAGCGGTGTTGGTAAACAGTTATTGAAAAAATTCTCTGATAGTCTCAGTACATGAGTTTTGACAGTTTCCATGGCAGTTTGCTCGTGCATGTCTAATATTCTGGCGTAGCGGTCGCACCCCAAGGCCAGTCGAAGACACTTGTTCTGCATGACTTGTAGTTTTTTAAAATGAATATTGGCCATTGAGCAATAGACTGGACATCCATACAGAAGTATTGGTCTTAATACCTGTTTGTATAGTAAAATTTTATTTTCGGCAGTCACCCCACTCCTACGATGCATCATGGGGTATAAAACCTTAAATGCACCCATAGTTTTGGAGATCCTGTCCAAGATATGTTGTTTGAATGTTAATCTCCTATCTAGAATGAACCCTAAATATTTCATAATATTCTTAGTTTCTATACTTTGTCCTTGAACTTTGATTTTTGTTATGATTGGTTCTTGCCTAATCCTTGAAAGTAATAGACTTTCTGTTTTAGCAGGATTAATTTTTACTTTGTTCTTCTCTAGATAAGGGACTAACACTCGATTTGCATGGATATCCAGCCTTCTGGCCGCAATTTCGGCTGATTTTGATGTCTTGTAGATACAAGTGTCGTCGGCGTACAGAGCCGTCTGTATACCATTATGTCCCATTGGTATATCATGGGTCATGATGGTATACAAATGCGGCGCCAGTACCGAACCTTGAGGAACTCCCGCCTTAGCTGTATATGGCCCTTTGTTTGTTTGGTTGATTTTAATGTAAAACTGTCTATTATGTAAGTAAGTTTGAATTGTTTTTACAATGAAAACGGGGTAGTCATTCATAAACATTTTGTGGATTAACCCGTCGGTCCAGACTGAGTCAAAAGCCTTCGCAGCATCCAGTGCAACCAGCACTGTTTGAGATTGATTGTTGTAACCTTTAAAGGCGTGGTGGGCTATTCTTGTGATTTGTGCGACTGTGCTATGTCCGGCTTTAAACCCATACTGCTCCGACGGGATGATGTGTTTGTCTTGTTCGTATGTTTGTATTCTGTTAAGTATTACCCTGTCCGTAATTTTGGCTAGACCACTAATAAGGGATATAGGGCGATAGCTGTCGATATGAGTTTTGTTTTTACCCGCTTTTAGAATAGGCACTATATTGGCTACTTTTAGCATTGTGGGATACCATTGTAACTTTAATACCGCGTTTATTAGGTGGTTTAATTGTACTATTGCCTTTCTGGACAGATTTTTAATTAATTTGTTGTGAATTCCATCGGGCCCCGGAGCCCTTTTACTGGGAGTCTTTTTAATTATCTCTACGATTTCTTTCGGTGTTGTGAGTGAGTTGGATGGTACTTTTTGTGTGTTTATGTTTCTTATGTCCGATACTATGTTTTCTATTTCTATTTGTTCTTGATTTGATATCTGTGCATTTATAAAATTTCCCTGAAAAAATTCACCGAATGCACTTCCCTTCTGTTCGTCTGTCGTGTAGATGTCGTTATTTTGTTTCAGTGTGGGAAGTTGCGAGTAAGGTTTCTTAAACCTCCTCACAATTTTCCACACTGAATTGTCGCGTACATTGACTGATTCTAGAGTGCGTTGCCATTGAGCATTTCGATATTGATTGATTTCTCCGTTTATGTGTTTTCCGATGTCGGCTAATCTCACTCTATCCTCAGGCAATCTATGCGTCTGCCAGCGTCTCCTTATATAGTTCTTATTATTAATTAGGTCTAGTATCTCTTGTGGAAGATCGTCTTTGAAATGGTTGTGTGTTATGAGTTTTGTGGAGTTGTTTCTTGCAGTAATGATTGCTTGTGTAAGTTTTGTAAATTCTTCCTCAAGGGTTACTTTGTTTGTGATGTTATTATTAATGACTATGTGATTGTCAAGTGTTTGTCTGTACTTTGTCCAGTCCGTCGTATTGTAGTCATGAAACTGACCCTGCCTTCTTGGAATCTGACGCGTAGTTCTGATTTCCAAGTAAACAGGGTCGTGGTCTGATGTAAGTGTCTTGATTGTTCTTATTTTGTCAATGTTTGGGATGTTTTTGGCAATGGCTATGTCTAATGTACTAGGTTGGTATCTGCTGGCAAAAGGAAAGTACGTAGGTTCCTCGGAGTGATGTATGATAACGTCATTGTCTTCGGCAAATTTCTCCAGGTTTCTACCACTTGTGTTAGGTACTGTACAGTACGAATCCCAGTGTGGGTGCTTGCAATTTAGATCTCCCAGTATAAGGACTCTGTTACCCGATGTCATGATTGTATTGAATTCTATTTTTCGAAAAATATTACTAGGATTATGATAAATACCTGCAAAGATCATATTATCTATTTTTAGTAAAATGTGTTCCTGACTGATATTAATTTGCGATAACCGCCTATGGTCAATCTTGTTGTTGATAATAAAAGCTATCCCTCCCCCTATTTGTAATCTATCCTGTCTTATGACATCATACCCTTGGATTTTGAGCACGTCCGTCGGTTTGTAGTGAGTCTCTGTAAGGAATATGATGTCGAAATTATATTTATGTATGAAATTGCGAACAAGTGCGGTTTTGTTGCGCATCCCATTTACATTGTAAAAACAAATTTTGAGTTTATGTTTGTCCTGTGAATGAAGTTCAGTTTCTTAAATTGTATTGACTGTCTACGTTTGACATGAACGCGTTATATGTCTCAATAATGTCTTGGCCGTTTTTACAAAGTTTTAACTGTGCGTTCAATGCCCTAATTGCCCTAGTTAACTCACCCAAATTAACTAACCTGTTAAGTTCTGATAATTCTCGATTTAAAGTGGTTATATCACTCATGGCCGCTCCAGGGATGTTTTGTTTGGGTGCATCATTTGTATTAATTTCTCTTCTTGGGTTTTCAATCGGTTTTCTGTTTGGCAAAGCAGGGAATTCATCATTTTGCCTGTTGTTCTGGTTCCTGACCTCCCATTGGTTTACCTTCGGCAGCGGGGCGGGTACTAATTTGCGTTGTGGGAGTGGCCTCCTGAGTTCCATTCTCTGAACTCTTTCTACGTAGCTCTTGCACTTTGTATAGTTCGCTGGGTGATCACCACCACAATTAACACAGATGGCTGGAGTATCCCTGGTTTTACTGCAGGTACGTGTGTGGTGATCACCCGCACACTTCACACATTTGGAAGGTTTTCCACAATTGGCCGTCGCGTGTCCCCACTGTTGGCAGTTGTGACACTGGATTATCAACTTGGTGGATTTGCGGAGTTCCCACACTACTCTAGTGTAGAGAACTCGTCTAGTGTTTTTGTTTAGATAATCCAGTGTCAGTGCCGGATCCGTTACGACCAAAAATAGGGGGCGATCTTTGGTATTCATTTGATATACCTCCTTTGCAATTATCTCGTGCTCTTCTTCCAGACTGTCCTTTATTGCTTGTATTTTCGTTCCCTCAGCTAAACCTCGGAGAACAAAGGCATGTGACTTATCACTATTAGCTGTATATGTATGAAAAGCTATTTTCTCCGACTTAACACTTTCAATGACTCTGTCATAATCTTCTTTCTGGTCTACGAAGAGAATTGTCGTGTAATTAGTGTGCTTTACACTAAATTCTCCTCGCACCATGGCTTTAATATCCTGGATAAGCCCACTGTGATTTGATGTCTTGCCATCTATCACAATAGGGGGCATAGTTGTTTTTTGTTTGCTGTTTGCGTTGGTATTTTTATTACTGTTACCTGGGTTCGTATCCTTAGGAACATTTTTGGGGTTTTTGTTCACTGTAATGTCCGTTACGTCATTATTTTGCTTTCCTTTATTGTTTTGCTCATCAACATTGAATGGTCTAAAGTTTTGGCCCTTTTTCTTTCTCTTCTTAACTATCTTACCGATTTCATCATCTAATTCCGAATCAGATTCAGATTCATCGGTAAGTGCTTGGAATGTGTTACTAGTTTTAGTAATAGTTTGTTTGGACTTTTCTCTTACCAGTTTATGGAAGTTACTACTGAACTTTTTGGGCATTATGAATGGCTCCTCTTTGTTCTTATCGAATTGCTCATCATTTTTGTGCTCTTCCATATATTTTGCTCTTTCTGCCGCATTTCTAATTTCAAAAAAGCTATTAGGTGAGTGTGGCAGGTTATCAAAACGCTTTTCGAATCTTATCCTTCTTGCTTCTGCATCATTGAGTTCCTCCTCTGAGGTTACACTACTCGAGTTGTACTCTAGAATATTTTTCTCTATGCCATTGGGTATGTCACCTTTGTTTACATGAATTTTTATTCTGGGGTCACTGTTTACTCTTCTCAGAGTGCCTGTACTTTTTGAGGGTACAATGGGAGTTAGAGGGGTAATATTGACTAAGACTGGGGCAGCAGGGGTCTGCACAGACTTGGAGCTACTCGGTCCACCCTTTGTCTGTACATCGCCCGCGTTACCAGTTTGAATTTTAATAGTCTGATCCGTTTCTATATTAGGATTATTGCCTCCAAAATTCATTTGTCTACCTATCACGTTAGGTGGTAATGGTAAGGTTTTGAATTTAATTTTCGGGGTAGATTCACTCAT